TGCAAGCAGTAGAACTCACCTGTTTCTTGGTGTTTCAAACAAGGACTTGATTGGAGATCAAGTCAATACCCAATACCCACTTGACTGGGGTCAGTGACTTATGTCACTGAAGAGGGGCTGGTGGACCAGACTTGCATGACAGTAGAAACCAAGGGAATTGGGAAGGCCAAGAGGCTGGGAAGCAGCAACTGTTTCTTTAGCAGTAGCAACAGCAGCCTGGGCAGCATGCCATCTGCTGCTGCTGTGTTGTGTAGCACTGTCTGCTACAGATCCGGGCTCCTGAGAAAAGGGGAGCCTGAGCTCAATGCAGTGTTTGTGGGTGGAGAGTTGTCCACTGTGGCTTTCATGGTAGGAAAGACATTGAATCAACTGGACACATAGTGATGATTTCCCCCACCTTCTGTGAGGACTGGATACTGAGCTACCTCCAAAGTGGCCTGTCCAAAGCACTAGGGTCAGGGTAAGGATGCCAAAGGTAGTGGCTACTGCCTAGCACAAGCTTGTGACCATAGGAGCCCCATATCAAGGACCCAACAGAATGTGACTTGTTTTCTGCTAACATCCTGAAACGGCATGGAGGATCAAAGGAAAGTACTGTCCCATGTCTCTTCACCTCATTTCTCTGTTTAGCTTCTGGTCTCACCTAAAGAGAAAACAAAAGGATGATCAAGAGGGTGGCTGGAGAGACAGCCTGCATGAAACAGCCTGTGTCTAGAGAAAATGTGTTAGCTTATGGAGGTCCAGTGGATGCTTTTATACTAGAAAGGCAATCATCTGGGATAGCCACTCTTTCTTGGGAGTTTGTTTTTACATTTTATGCTACTTTTTTCTTCCCAGAAAGTTATGAACTTTAATATCATGCTAAAGTCTGAATCCACCTATAGTCTTTCTTTCAGTTATAATATTTTTCTAGGTTTGTAGACACAGGCTTGGCTCAGGTGAATTAGGAAGGTAAAACTTAAGTCTAGTGGATGAAAGAATAGGAAGCTCTATCGTGAAGTTCAAGAAGGAGGTATGGATTAAAAGGTATTAAGTTTAAAAGGAGATGGATATGAGAAGGAAGCATCTTAACTTTTTAGTTTTGTTTGACATATAACTCAAGTCCAATACAGTTCATTTAGTGAAAGTTTGTCATCCAGTGATTTTTAGTGTATTTATAGTTGTGTAGCCAATACCACACTCAATTTTCGGACATTGTCATTATCCTTCCCCAAAATCCTGCAGCCACCCCCGCCCCTTAGAAATCACTTTTCATTGCCCTCTGACCACAATCTCCCCCACACACACATGTACACATTCTAAGGAACCTCTAATCCACTTTTTGACTCTATTGATTCACCTATTCTGGACATTTCACATACATGGAATCATACAATTGTTGGCCTTTTTTTATCTGGCCTCTTTCAGTGACCATAATGTTTTCCAGGATCATCCAGATTGTAACATGGATCCTTTCAATTTTCTTGAATAGATACCTAGAAGTAGAATTGCTAGGTCATATGGTAACTCAATATTTAACAGTTAAAGACACTGCAGACTGTTTTCCACAGCAGCTGTGCCATTTGACATTCTCACCAGTAGCATCTGAGGGCTCCAGTGTCTTCATATCCCACTAACATTTGTTATCATTTTTATTAGTCATCTTAGTTTGTATGAAAGGTTAGTTTTGACCATAGTTTTGATTTGGAGTTCTCTCATGGCTAATAATGTTGAGCATTCTTTCTTGCACTTATTGGACATTTTTGCATCTTCTTTGGTTGAGATGGCTATTCAGATCCTTAGCCAATTTTTAAGTTGGGTTACTTTTTCTTATTATTGAGTTGTAAGGGTTCTTTATGTATTTTAAATATAAATCCCTTATCAGGTATATTGTTTTCAGGTATTTTCCCCCATTCTGTGGATTCTTTTCACTTTCTTATGGGTATCTATTGAAATGCAGAAGACTTAAATTTTGATGGAATGTAGTTGATCTATTTTTTTCTTTATGCTTTTGGTGTCATGTGTAAGGTCACCAAGATTTTCTTCTAAGAGTTTTATAATTTTCACCCTTGTACCTGGGTCTGTCATTTATTTTGAGTTTTTTGTGACTAATGTAAAAGAAGGAGTTCTTGATGCTTTAGAGGAAAGAGTGAATAATATTTATCATTTACTCTCAGTTTGAACTACATTTTCCAGGGGTCTGGTCCCAACTTCTGCTTTCTTTGTGTTTCCCTTTAAATGTTTTTAGTGTTGGGTATTAAAATTATGATGGCTTTCAGCAGATATTGATTCACCACTTGCATATAATGCACAAGGAATAGTTTAGAGTGGGAATCCCTAATAGTATCATAGGCTATTTGATTGGATTTACTTCACACTGAGCCTAATAATCTGTACTACCTTGAGTTGCTTTTAAAGAGCAAACAAATTATTTTGCATAGTAATTATTATAACAACATTGGGGAAAAACCCTAACTCAATTGCCATTACTACCAACATCTTCCTTCCCTGGACCCACTGTGCGAGCACCAGACCTCCCCTTATGACTGCATCTGTTACTGTAATCTTCTGATTGTCTCCTGTGTCTCCATCCCCTGAAATGTATATAGTTCACTGCCAGCAGAGCTCCCAAGGGTGTGCCTGTCCAGGGGCAGGGTGCTGTGTAGTAGGATTGAGATCCAGCCCTCGGTGCACTGAATTGAAGAGCTTTGTCTGCAGAGGCACCTTTCTGTAGTAGGCGCAGAGATGCCAAATGGGCTCACAGGGAACCTGGCTGCCAAAGTGACCTTTCTAAAATATTTGCCCATTTTATCCCTCTGTGTAATGCTCTTCAGTGGGTCCAAGATGCTTAGATGGAATACAGACTGTATGACCTAGCTCTGCTTGTCTCACCAGCCTTTTGATGAGAATAGCCATATGATTTATTGTCTAAACCAAAATGCTTCTGAAAGAAAGGGGAACCATTGATGACTATGCCAGGAGAATACATGGTGGCTACCTGGGCACCTATCTGTAGCCTGTAACCCACCACACCTTTGGATCAAAGTAGTGCCAAATTCCTGGTAGTTTTCATGCACATCTTGTTATTTCCAGATCAGGAGGTTTTCTTTCTTTCTTCTTTTTTTTCGGGGGGGGGGGTACTGGGGATGGAACTCAGGACCTTGCGCTTGCCAGGAGGTTTTGATAGAGTTATTTGGTCCACCTTGTTGTGAATCTGGGTACATTTTTACTCCTTTTTCTGATTAAACATTTAAAGATAAAATCAAAACATCCTCAACATCGGAATGCAAGATCAATATGGTCACAGCTTTAAAATGCAATTAAAATATCCAAGTAAAATTGTGAAATATATATTTGGTCTTCATCCAAGTTTCCCAATATAGGACTCCTAAAATCTTTGCAATCTAGGAAGTGATAGTCTTTTTGTATGCTAATGAATTGGGTGATGAAGGCTGACAGCCCCTAGGTAGCTTCAGGATGGGGCCTGGTCCTGGTTAGAACCAAGGTAGGATTTGCACTTTTAGCCAAAACTCCAGTCCTTAAAGAGGGCAGAAAGACTGAAGGCTAAGTTGCTTATCAGTGGCCAATGACTTAATCATGCCAATACAATGAAGTCTCCATACCCGCCCCCCCCAAAGGTCTGGGTTGGGAGAGCTGCCAGATAGTTGGCTATATGGAGGTTTCTGAGGGTGGTATGCCCAGAGAGGACATGAACAGTAGATGCCCCTAACCATGTTCCTTACCCTATGCATCTCTTCCTCATACTCTGTGCAGTAGCATTGGTAATAATCTAGCAAATGTGTTTGCTAAGTACTGTATACCACTCTAGCAAATTAATTAAACCTGAAGAGGGGGTGTGAGAGGCCAGAGGGATAGCCAGTTGTCCAAATCATAGGTGAAATAATGTGGAACTTGAGGCTGGCATTTGAAGTAAAAGGAGGAGGCCTCAACTTTATGGGCTCCAGAGGCTATTTCCAGGTAAACAGTTTCTGAACTGAATTGAATTGAATTAGAGGACACCCAGCTAGTGTTCACTGCTCCAGAGTTGTTTGCTTGGTGGTGGGGAGAAATCCCCAGTTTTGGGGGGGTCACAGAAATCTTCTATGTTGACTTATATGAGACCAGAAGAAAAATATTTTGTTTTTCCTAGAGAATATTAATTCTATACTTTTCTCTGCTTATGGTTCTTGATCATAGTACTTTTCTCTTCTTAAAACTTCATTTCCCTCTTCCCTATTCTTCTGCCTTTCCCTGGTTTATTTACATTTTTTTTCAAGATACTTCAAGGACTATCTGTTCCAGTGATCTTACCATGATGCTTTCTGGCTGGGCTCAGAACCCAACATCATCTTCCTAAAGCCCCTTGTACATATATTTCTTATTGTACCTAAAAAAAAGTGTCACAGTTACCTATTCAGGGCTGCCTTGTGCTCCAGACTTCAGTCTCCAAGGCAGGAATCTTGACTTATTAATCTTTGTATCCTCTATGCCTACACAGTACTTCACAATAATGCAATCTCCATAAATAGTTATTACGAGGGACTAGTCTGAACTCCTTGTGGTATTATGAAATTAAATGTGTCATACAGGAAATTTCTTAGGGTACTAGTGAAGATTCATACATACTTGGAGCTTTCAAGAGGTTGACTTTTAGCATTTTGAAGTTGTAGAGCCTGTTGGTATTTTTAATATCATAGAATTAAATAAGAGGGAAATATGTAACCATAATATTCATACACATGCCCCCCAAAGTGTGAGCATTCTTCTACTGTATGTTTACTACTGTATATTGCCATATACTACTATGTATTTCCATAGCCAAAATTGGTCTGAGACTATTAAAAGATTAAGTCTTCTTTAATGCAATAAAGGGTCATGTAACCTATCAAATAATAATATTCAATTCTTGTTTTACTTGTGATATTCTATGGTTTAGGTATTTTGAGTGAAGGTAAACAATGTTATCTCAATTTTAAGTGTTGATTTGATCAAGCCTAATATATTCTTTTTCGATGATCTAGAATGTTTCAGGCATTTAAAGAATGGTTCTGGTTGGAAAGATTCTGGCTTCCCCCAACAATAAAGTGGTCAGATCTTGAAGATCACGATGGACTCGTCTTTGTCAAACCTTCTCATTTATATATGACAATTCCATATGCTTTTCTCTTGCTGATCATCAGATATTTCTTTGAAAGGTAAGTAGCATTTGTGTGTCTTCTCATTTCCCTTCATTGTTCTAACTCTAGAGTAATAATATTTTAGATTTCATGAGGTCCTTAATGAATCTCTTGTTCAGAAGTTGCCATTTATGAGTTACAAATTCATGGGGAGAATTGGTGCAACTAAATGCACACAAAACATTATCTAGGTTAGAGGATGATGAGAAAAAATTAGACACATGGATAACAGTATATGCTTTAGCTTTATAGTGAAGAGAATAGAGATCAAAACAGGTTAAGGATCACAGAGCTTATTAGTGTCAGTGACAATATGGTGCCCAGTTTATCTTCCCTATACTATGGTTTCTAACAGTACATCTATACTCCCAGGAAGACAGAGTTAGGGGAGTCTGTGACTTAGAGATGCACTAACATTCTAGAAAGCCTATAAAATATCTCATTAAAACTTCAACTCTGAGAAGCCCGAAGGTCAGATCATTATGACCCGAATGCAAAAAATGAACTGGAAAAATGTTTACTACAAATTTTTAGAGATCACTATTAGTGAAGCTAGGTGCCTGGAATTGCACATGGAAATCGACTGGATACCCATTGCCCACTCCAAACCTACTGGTGGGAATGTTGTTCAGTATTTATTGCCAGGAGGGATTCCCAAAAGCCCAGGCCTTTATGCCATTGGCTATGAAGAATGTATTAAAGGGCTCCTCTCACCCTACATGGAGCGACATTCTGTGGACCCAGGAAAAGAAGGCAGTGTTGACCTGGAAAACCTGTCAGCACAAGCCTCATTACAGGTGGAAATAGAACCCACCCGAATTATCTATTGCTACCTTGGAATTACTGAGGTCTGGACTCTGCAGCAGTGCTTATTTTTACATTTCCAAGCAAATACCAAAACCTTCAGCAAAGATTGGGTTGGTATTAATGGGTTTTTGTCTCAGAACTGTATTGTGGATCCTGGAGTTTCCCCCAAATCCATCTATATCAAATTTGTAGAAGTAGAGAGGGATTTTCTTTCCGCTAGCTCTTTAGTTGAGTGCCTGGAAAAAGCCATTGGATACCCCTTAAAATTTAATAACTGAATGTCATCCTTCATAAGGATTTGGGCTCTTGTCTCCCTGTCTCACTTTCCATTACCCAGACCCTTCCTCATCGAGATGCTGCCATCAGATTCTTCATGAGGACTCTCTCCACAGTTGGGCCAGTACAACCTCTAAGGAATCATAGTAGACTTTGGGCAGAAAAAACAGACTTCACCAAAAAATGCTCATTTTGAGCAAGCAAGATATGTAATAAACTTGCATGGTGGGTCAGTTGTTTCTTTTTTAAAAACAATTTTTAAATGAATTTTAGAGCCCTAATATAAACAAATGTAGGTGCATTCCATATTGGACAAAACTTACACTTTGAGTTTCATATGAAATTGAAAAATTGTATTTTTTTCACAGTGTTTCATTTTTACACATCTCTATGTCTCTATATAAGTATTATTTACAATGCTGAATAAATAAGCAATAGATAATGGCAAGTGAAATTTGAGTCACAGAAAATAAGACTGTTTTTCAGTATCACCTTTAGCTACTATTGTATATAATTTAGAGCTTCATTTTTTTCACCAACCAAGTGTTTTGTTATTTCCAATCAGTGTTGCCTGCAAAGATCTTTGTTTCTGTGATGTACCAACTTTATGGTTGTGTTGCCATTAAAACTTTTTCAAAAAAGAAAATTAAAGTAATTCCTGGCCTCAAAAAAAAAATCTCATTAAAGACCAAACTAAATATTGCTGTATTACATAATTTATTTAAAAGTTTTATTACTGTCTTTCTTTCTAAAGTATTAGGAAATCAAAGAAAAAATATTAATTTGCTTTCTCAGAAAATAGTGAAGTTCTTTTTCTTGAATTAATTTAAGTAGATATATCTATTGTCCAGTGTTTTTATTAAAATTGTACTGGTGCTTTGATAACAGGAGATAAATGTTTATCTGTATTCTCTGTAGTTATCTCTATTTCAAAAAACTGTTATTATCACATTAATTCATTTAGAGCAAAAAGAGTATTTGAATGTTAAGAGTTGGAAAAACTTAAGAGAAACTCTGATAAAGATCATGTTGTCCAAGATTAACTGTAATACAGATCATATGTTTATGACCATTTGTAGGGTCCTTATCTTGAGAGTTAGTTTGGCCAACTCTATTCTATGGACTTGCCAAAAGGTTTTATAGAAATAACTTCACTGAGGCCAACAATGTGCTATAGCTATTGGGTGGAAAAGAAATCCCCTGTTTGAGTACATTTGAAAATTTACTTTCTTTCTAACAATTAATTCTACTTATTACTACACAGTTGAATTTGTCAAAGAAGATATAAATAAAGTAGAATATGCCACTGCATGTCAAAATTAATAAATTACTATATTATTATCTTGAAATAGTTGCTTTTCTTGCACTGGATCTGGTGATCTTTGAATTTAGCATGTAGACCCATTACCTATCCCCATTACAGACTTCTTGCTTTTTTGGTGGGCAACTCCATTCTTCACAGTTTGGTCATGAAAGTGAGCCAGAACATTATTTTGGTTGCCAAAACAGCACAGCTGTACAGGACCAACCTGTTATATGCTTGCTGATCTTGACCTAGCCAACAAGGGAGAAATGCAGTCCTCTTAATTCCTAGGAACATTCTTGCCTCTTCTTGGTACATTTTAGGTGTACAATACAGGTACAGTCATCATTGGAAATTTGCACCTTTACATAATCTCTCTTGGTTCTTATTTTTTCCTTACTCCCCTCCCCTCCCCTCAACTCCTCCATCCCTCCCTATTTACAAAGACTTTGTTTCCATTTTTTCATTTTGTCATATTGATTCCATTACCTTCTTTCCTTTCCACTACCCCTCCCACTTCCCCTTCCCCTTCCCCTTTGCCCCTTTTCTTCCTATCTCACATTATCTATTATACCTTTTAGTCCTTATTTATGCTTTCAGTTTCTCACTAGAGGAACTATTTGGTATTTACATGTGTGTCCTATTTATTTCATTTAAGAGTATAGCCTCAATGTGCATCCATTTAGCAATAAATGTCTCTAATTTCTCATTTTTTATGACTGAGTAGTACTCCTTTTTTGTTTTTTTGTTCCGGGGATCGAACTCGGGTCCTTCCACTTGCCAGGTAGGCAGTGAAACCACTGAGCTAAATCCCTGGCCCGGTACTCCATTTCATTAAAAAACCACATTTTCTTTATCCAGGCTCCAGTTGATGGGCACTTGGGCTGCTTCCAAGTTTTTGGCTATTACAAATTGTGCTGCTATGAACATGAGTGCACATATATCACTGTGGTATGATTCTTTTAATTCTGTGGGGAAGATACCCAGCAGGGGAATAGCTGGGTCAAATAGGACTTCCAGTCCTAGTTCTTTGAGATATCTCCATACTGATTTCCACAGTGGTTGCACCAATCTGCACTCCCACCAGCAGTGGAGCAGTGTTTCTCCTTACCCACAGCCCCGCCAGCATTTGTTATTGGTTGATTTCATGATAGCAGCCATTCTTTCTGGGGTGGGGTGGAATCTGTGTTTGTTTTCACTTGCATCTCTCAAATGACCAGTGATGTTGAACGTTTATTCATATGTTTATTTGGTATTTCTACTTGTTTGTCTGAGAAATGTCTGTTCATTTCAGATGCCCATTTTTGGATTGGGTCTTTAAATTTGGGAGGTCTGAT